AGGATCTCCTATATCCGACTCACAACACCAGAAGATCTCCACCCCATCCTTTCCTGGTTTACTAGGTATATATTGACGAAAATTGCATCGACCACGAGTTGGTATTAGCTGTTCGTCGACGGTGAGTGATCCACCAGGCATGTAGCATATTTGTAGGCGAGCTAAGAACATTGTCCATAAATCTCTTATTGCTGCCAGTTTATCCACCTTCAATCTTTCCTCTCTCGTCGTTGTATTGTCAAATCGGCAAAATTGTAGCAAGCTTTTGAAACGGTTCTTGCTCATAGTTGCTCGAAATATTGGTCGTCCATTGATCATTGACCATAGTTCATCCAGAGTTTCATTTTTTGCTCGATGAACACCTGCGAGGAGCAATAGCCCAATAAAAGCCCACATTTCTTCAAGGTCTGTGTCCCTCCATTGACTTTTTTCATCAGGGTTTTCTTCACTCCATCGTTCCAAAAGTAGATGTGCTCGTCGGTTGGTTTCTTTGACCAAAAGAAGAACCATTTCCTGAGTGATCAGAAGTTGAAATGCTTCTTTTAGAGTTTGTATATCTGCTGCTGGTAGACCAACACCAGTTCGCTGTCGCAATATATTAGCAATTGGAAGTTTTTTCTTGGGAAGTTCTTTCGATGTCCATTGTCGACCAGATTTTGAAGAAAATATTTTAACCGGTGTTGGTTTAACTTGTGGTTTACGTTTTGCTCGACGTCTAGGTGGTTCCTCGTCACTCATACTTTTTGTATCAACACTATTTTCATCGGATTCATCACCTGAATCCTTTTCGACCGTACCATCATCTGATTCATCAGAAGTATCTTGAAGAGTAGAAGGTATTTCCGCATCTTCAGAATCATGATTTACATTAGTATCTTCGTCGCTGGACTTGTCATCGAAATGTTCCGAGTCGTCGAGCCAATATTTAGATTGATTGAAGTTAGAGCGTTTTCTTTTATCCATATGTGTTTTGATAATAGCCGTTAGCGATGCAAAAAAATATAGTGATTTTATTGCTTTGAGCAAGAGGTATATATATATGTTTTTGCGAAGAATAAGAAAGAATTCCGTAGAGCATAATAGAAAAAAAAAGAAATTAAGAGAAGATTCAAAAGAGAGTACATGTCATCTATGTAGAAAGAACGAGAAAGAAAATAGATGTACTTGAACATACTAGAGAAATGATATATGCAATCACGTATAATGGTAGAACGAAATAAAATATAGATGGAACATGTATATATCGTGACGTCATCGCAATAGCAGAAAGAAAGAAAAGATGTGTATATAAGATTACTATGCAAAAGTACTTTCGATGAAAAAGCAACTTTCTATATGTGAAACNTAAACAAAATTATCTCAAAACTAACAGAAAACCTGTAGGAGTACTCAAATATACAGAATACAACGTCCTAAAGCCATTAACATGCTTTTCAATTTATTTGACAGCTCTGGCATACCCTCACAAGAGCGAGAAAATGATATACAATATGAAAATAAAAAGTCATAATCAAATAAAAAGCAAAAACTAATGTTATACTATGGGGTCCGGATGGACCCCAGGTGGGCAATAAGCGTATATTTGTACTTTGGGATAATTTATGTCATGAACAATCAATAATGATAAGCGAATGCTGTCAATGATATACTCTACTAGTCTTCACTAGAGCATATCTAGAGAGGTGTGTTATGATCTACGATTATAGATGCAAAACATTAGAATGAAACCAGTTGGGGTCCGCGCGGACCCCAGGTGGGCGTTTCAGGGTTAAAAGGGAAACGTGAAAAGTTAAAGGTTAAAGGTTAAAGATTAAAGGTCGAACCAGGTGCTGCTGTATCTCTAGAAAGTTCTAGAAATATGTGGACTATTCGAGAATGTTCTAGATTCATCTAGAATTTTCTATAATCTCTTTAATGATCTAGCATTTACTGGAACGTTCTAGAATATTCCAGAAATTTCCAGTGACTGTACGTCATACATGACGTCATGGATGAGTGAGAATTTTCTTGAAGGTTCTACCACAGGTTACAGAGGGTATAAATAGACCCAACCCAACTGCAAACAGACCACTTTCCTAATATCAATGATGACCGACACAACAGGCGATTCTACGATGGATCATGAATATGACAAGTCAATGCCAACAGCACTTGACGAGCAGAATATCTCGAACTTGAACGATGCTGCTAGCCAACCTGAAGTCGAAACATCGCATGATAGCCCTAAGGTGAAAACACTTAGGAGATCCAAAAGGATTCAAGAATGACGTGCACAACAAATGGAAGAAAAAAGAAAACAACGACTGCAATCGGATGTAGCAAGACATCGTTCGCAATACAGGCAACAATCAGAAGAAGAAAAGCAAGAGCGACGACGAAAAATTGCGTCACGAGCAAAGAAACGAAGAGAACAAGAAATTGATGATAAACAACTTGAATGACAAGCGAAGAACGCTTTTCGTCAACGCCATCGTCGACACCAAAACTCATCTTTGTATGGAGTTGCACTTCGAGACGAATTTCCTCCTGAAAGTTATCATGGGAGAATGGATAGTATCTGTCAACACTGCAACGCTCTACACTTTAAGGATGAGTCCGTTTCTGATAGACAAGATGAATTCAAGCAATGCTGTCACCATGGATCTGTTCAACTTCCCGAACTTGTTCCATATCCAGATGAAATCAAAGCTCTTCTACAAGGAACCGATGTTGAATCAAAAAATTTTCGAGAAAATATTAGAAGTTACAATAGTGCTCTTGCATTTGCATCTATGGGAGCTCAAATTGATTTACCACAAAGATATGGGCCCTATTGCTTTCGCATTCATGGATAAATCTATCATCGAATCGACGCACTTCATCCTAATCCTGGCCAGAGAGCTCAGTTTGGACAACTTTACATTTTGGACTCATCCTTGGCATTAAAAGAACGGATGGGAAATGCTGCTAATGAAAATTGCAATGAAACGACAATGAACAAACTCGGCGATATAATGAAGAGAATTAGTCCTTTTGCTGCTGCCTTCAAAATGATGCATGAAGTCGAACAAGAAGAAATTGATCGAGCCAAGAGAGAGAAACGAGCACCACCTCCACTTCGAATGATTTTT